AAGCCAACGTTTTTTTTTAGCTAACGCTACACCAAACTTCCGGGTCACATAAACTGTACCGATTAAATATTAAAATCAAATTCTGCGTTGCTGTCCGTTTTTCCATTTCGTATTCTTGATCTGAGCTTAGAATTGATATATGAAAAACAAATCCTTTTTTTCGTTTTTGGTTTAACCATAAAAAAACAAAAAACAAAATAACCAGTCAATTTTTTATTTTTTGTTTTTTGATTGGCAATTGAAAATAGAAAGAACGAATGATACACGGATCATCATCCCCAGTGACTTAATGAAAGTAAAACCAAAGAGTGGTTGTCCAATAGTTTGACCTAAAGCTTTGAGCAAAGACAACTTTATCATTAAATAAGTTTCTCTTTCACCCTGACATTTCTAATCTATGCTGTTCTTTTATTCAGAGTTATGTCTTCCTCCACAGTTACAGCTCTTTATATGTGTTTTTTCTGAGTATTTCCCAAATTCATTCTCCTCTATTCATTTCTCCTACTGGGTCATTTCTCTGGCGGTTTATACCGACAGGTTTATTTGGTGGAGGTTTTTGTTTCTATTTATGTTCTGGGGAATTTAGTTTGTTTGGAAATTGGAATCTGGTTTGGTTTGATGTTAACCAGTCTCTTTTTGTGTGTATTTAGTTGATTTATTTATTGTTGTTTGTCAAATTTGTCTGAAAATGTCTGAAATAAATTATTTTTCATTCATTCTCTCATTTTTTGGAGAATGTTGGCCTAGTGGGTTAGAGCAGTGCCGTTGAGCTCTGAGAAGGTTGCAAGTACTCGGTTCAGTCCTCATAGCCTCCACTCTGGGTTTTTAAGGACTTTGGAAAGCTCATTATGTCAGTAATGACATAGGTGGAACAGGTTTTAGCTCCGCCCCTTTACCTGCCACACCTGAACTAAAGCAGGAAGCAGTTTGTGATTTTTGGTTCCTGCAGAGAGACTCCCAGACGATCAGATTCACCTTCAGACCAAACTAGCAGCTTCCTCTGAGTGAGTCCAGCTGCAGGAGAGAAAAGTGGAAACCTCCAACACTGCT